TCAGAAATTTTCTTTTCACAGTCTCGTTTGGTCCCTTCTCCTCTGCACTCAACCTGTCTTCATGCAAATTCTGTGCAGCCTGGGTTTCTTTTCCCAAAAATAGCCATTTGGGCATGGGAGTTGACTGGGAGAAATTCTTGGTACAATGAGCAGCCCACAAAGGAGCCATTTCCTCTTTTAAAAATTGGCCTAACTTCATCTGATCCTCCTTCAATGTATTGACTAGCTAAAAATAACTTTGTGATCAGAGCACACAGGAACATGCCTTTGTTTTTTCCATAGGGACAATGAATCAACACTTGCAAATAGTGTGAACAGTGACTTTAGAGAACAGAACTTTTTTGTTGCTTCTTTGTTCGTTTATTTGCTTTTCTTGGATTTTTTTTCTTTTTTTTATTGATTTTATTGAGCTCTACATTTTTCTCTGCTCCCCTCCCTGTCTCCCCCCTCCCATTCAATTCTCTCCCAAGGTCCCCATGCTCCCGATTTACTGAGGAGATCTTGTCTTTTTCTACTTCCCATGTAGATTAGATCTATGTATGTCTCTCTTAGGGTCCTCATTATTGTCTAGGTTCTCTAGGATTATGATTTGCATTTTTTTGTATTTGTTGAGATTTGCTTTGTGATCAAGTATATGGTCAATTTAGAGAAGGTTCCATGAAGTGCTGAGAAGGTATATTCCTTTGTGTTTAGGTGAAGTGTTCTATAGATGTCTGTTAAGTCCATTTGAGTCATAACATCTGTTAGTTACCTTATTTCTCTGTTAAGTTTCTGTCTGACAGACCTGTCCATTGGTAAAAGTGGGGTATTGAAGTCTCTCTCAATTAGTGTGTGAGGTCTGATTGTGTGATTTAAGCTTTAGTAATGTTTCTTTTACAAATGTGGGTGCCCTTGTATTTGGGGCATAGATGTTGATAACTGAGACTTCATTTTGATGGATTTTTCCTGTGATAAATATGAAGTGTCCTTCATCTCTTCAGCTTGTTTCTTAGGTCCATTTGATTGAAACATCTTTTCCCAACCCTTTACTCTATCTTTGAAGTTGAGGTGTGTTTCTTGTATGCAACAGAAGGCCAGATCCTGTTTTCATATCCATTCTGTTAGCCTGTGTCTTTTTATAGGTGAATTGAGTCCATTGATATTAAGGGATTGTAATGACCAATGATTGTTAATTCCTGTTCATTTTTGGTTTTGTTGTTGATGGGGGTTTTGTGTGTGTGTGTGTGTGTGTGTGTGTGTGTGTGTGTGTGTGTTTCCCTTCTTTGTGTGTGTGTGTGTGTGTGTGTGTGTGTGTGTGTTTCTCTTCTTTGGGATTTGCTGTTGTGTGAGATTATCAATATATTGCCTGTGTTTTTGTGTGTATAACTAATTTCCTTGAGTTGGAGTTTTTCTTCTAGTACTTTCTGTAGGGCTGGATTTCTGCAGAGATATTGTTTAAATCTGGTTTTGTCATGGAATATCTTGTTTTCTTCATCTATGGTGATTGAAAGTTTTGCTGGGCATAGTAGGTCAGGCTGGCATCTGTGATCTATTAGTGTCTGGAAAACATCTGTCTAGGACCTTCTGGTTTTCAAAGTCTCCATTGAGACAGGTGTTACTCTGATAGGTCTACCTTTATATGTAACTTGGCCTTTTTCCTTTGCAGCTCATAATAGTCTTTCTTTATTCTGTATGTTTAGTGTTTTGATTATTATGTGGCAAGAGGATTTTGGTTTTTTGGTCCAGTCTATTTGCTGTTCTGTAAACCTCTTTTTTTAAAAAAAATTTATATATTATTATGTATACAGTATTCTGTCTGAGTGTATGCCTGCAGGCCAGAAGAGGGCATCAGGCCTCATTACAGATGTTTGTGAGCCACCATGTGGTTGCTGGGAATTGAATTCAGGACCTTTGGAAGATCAGGCAATGCTCTTAACCACTGAGCCATCTCTCCAGCCCCCTCTGTAAACTTCTTGTATCTTCATAGGCATGGCCTTTTTTAGATTGGGAAAGTTTTTTTTCTATGATTTTGATGAATATATTTTCTGTGCCTTTGAACTAGCATTCTTCTTCTTTTATCCTTATTATTCTTAGATTTGATCTTTTCGTGGTGTCCCGGATTTTCTGGATGATTTATATCAAGACTTCGTTGGATTTAATGTTTTCTTTGACTGTTGAATCCATTTCCTCTACAGCATCTCCAATGCCAGAGGTTCTCTTTTCCATCTCTCGCATTCTTTTACTTGCGTCTGTAGTTCCTGATCATCTATCTATAGTTTCCATTTTCAGAAATACCTTGGCTTGTAATTTCTTTATTGTCTCTATCTCAGTTTTCAAGTCTTGAATTGTTAGAACTGTTTCCTTCACCTGTCTGATTTTTTTTTCTTGGCTTTCTTTGCTTTATCTAAGGATTTATTAATTTCTTCAAATTTTTTGTTTGTCTTTCCCTCTATTTCTTTAAGGGAATTTTTTTATTTCCCCTTTAAAAGCTCTATCATCTTCATAAAGTTATTTTTAAGATCATTTTCTTCTGCATCGTCCCTGTTGGGATGTTCAGGTTTTACTGGGTTCTGGTGGTACCACACTACTCTTTGTGTTGTTGCATGGATTCTTATACTGTTCTACTAATCTGGGCTTGGGATAATTACAGGTACAGGTATGATGTCCTGTAATATCTTTGCTGGATGGGTCTTTTGTTCCTTTATTATGTTTTGGCCTGTATCGCCAAGGGTTCTGGTGATTGGCTGGCTGACAGATTGAGTAGAGTTGTCTCAGGTGAAGTTTGTGGGGGTTTGGGTGCCTAGATCCAGCCTGTCATCCAGTTCTTCCGGCAGGTGTGGGCTTTGATTGTGCCTATGGGGTCTGTTCTCACAACTGGCGCCGGTTGTGACTGTGCCTATGGAGTCTCTTCTTCAAGCAGGCATAGGTTTTCACCTGTCTCCCCGGCTCACACGGGGAGCTGAACTGCTGGGTTAAATAGCCGCCGAACTGATTTGTGCTCCAGTTACACCGACTCTTTCATGCACATAAGGCTTCCACCTCTCATCACATTGTTCCTTTGGCACCAATCCCATCAGCCCCTTTGCTCTGTCACCAGGGACGTGCTCCACTCTGGCCTGAGTGGAAATGGTTTCAGATCTTGCCCACATTCGCTGAAGTATGTGGTTGCAAACAGTCTTGTGTTAACTGGAAACAGCTAGGGTTGGGACTGGCCCTTGGGGAGCAGGAGCGACAAGTTGCAGTTGTTTCCTGGGAGTTTCTTCAAGCAGTGTCTTCAAAATCACCAGTGCTCGTCTAAGGGTGATTGCTTGATTGACAGCCCTTCCGTCAGGCAGCCCGGGCACAGTGGAAAGTCTAACAGCTGTTGGAGGGTCAGATGATCATCTCACCCCCCGACATTTAGTCAGATCATCTCACCCCCTGACATTTCTCATTGATGACTCATAGGAAAAAGAAAAGTATAGAAGGAAAACTTATCATAAGAACATGCCAACATTGGTTTTGATTTAAGCAGTGGTCTCCACTGCTAGCCAGTGCTGAACACCTGCTCCCCATCCTGGAGAAAAAGAAGTCTTCCTCCTTGTCTCTGAGGGTTGTATCAGAATCTCTTAGACCAGAACAGCTCCCTGGAGATGTTGGATCTGACCATCTTTGGAATTGTTCGGGCTCATCCTTGTGCCTCAGTGCCCTGGAGTGAAATAACTCTTGCTGGCTTGTATTTCTGCTGCAATGGCACAGATGAACTGAGAATCTTGTGCCCGGGACATTTCAGTCTCTCTGTCTTGACACCATCTCCCAGAGGTGCCATAGAGCATGGTAGAGAATCTGGCCCATATCTCTGCCTCCTTCTGACCAAGAAGACAACACGGGCTTGTCAACTTGGCCTGCTCACTCTAAGCTAAGGTGCTATGGAGGAGTATCAGGGTATTATGAGCACAAAGAGTAAGGAAGCCATTTGCTAATTCTTGTTTTTTAACCTAAAGCTTATGGGCCTGGCTAATTAAAAGAAATCCAGATGCCATATATAGGGCTCAGGCAGCAGGAGCATTTGAGCCTGAGCAAGACCTCATTTCGGAATGAATGAATGAATGAATAAATCCAACTGCACATAGGATTACATCACAGTCTACGGGAATAAACAAATCTAGCACTTAATTCTAAAGTTCTATTTAAGGTGTGTGTGTGAGTGTGTGTGTGTGTGTGTGTGTGTGTGTGTGGCATTTTAGCTTTCAATTAGCTCCATCAAGAGTTGAATGATAGTTTTCAAAAGCAAAATCGGACGTAGCAATTTCTCCTTTCCTTGGCTGCTCACATGCCCACCTCTGTCATTCGATCTTCTAATCTTCAACAACAGCAACAACAAGGAGGCTGATGGCGAGATGTGTGATAGCTTTGCACCCATGGAGACGGGCACGGGCACTGTCCCTGCAAGGACTGGGCCGATCCCAGGCTGGCTCGAGGCCTGGCTTCCTGGGAAATGCTAAGCAATTGCTACCTGGTAGGCAGTGTTCTTAGTGTTGTGCTGCTGGAGGAGAGTTAGCGAATGCCACACAGCCAGTGAAGGCGTTAATAGCGTGCATGGATCTGCCTTTAGATGGAGCCACACCTCACCACCTACTCCAGATGTCCAGTGGACCGTTTTTGGCATAACTCGCATCTATCCATCTCTGCGCTCAGACTCCAGGGTCAGTGTGTCCGGTACTGTCCTTTTTAACTGCTCTGCTGTGGTTCAGTCTAGAGGGAACCTGAGATGCTCCAGTGGTCATAACTTACCAGTGACCTCTGTGTACCAATTGCCTCCCTTAGTAAACTATGAAGGGCAAGCCTTTTCTCCGTTTTACCCCTGGAACTTGTGCCACGTTCCATCCAATTTGCTAAGTAAGTTCTCATCAGAGTCCAGCACATCTCAGCAGTTTGCAAAAACAACCTGGGTGTTATCGTGCAGCGTCTTCTCTGTGAGCCAAACAGACGAACACCTGGGTTTAGATCACAACTGCTTTTGTTGTTGTTTTCTTTTGCAGCCTGTGGGATCCGAGAGGCCTGAGATGCGGATGCAGCAGATGTGCAGCGGAAGTGAAACCCAGGGCTCCATCCAAAGCCAGCAGGGCACAGGGAGCCATGGCTCCAACGCCTGCTGCTTTTGCTGGTGCTGTTGCTGCAGCTGTTCTTGGTAACACTGGGGCCTTTTACTGAGGCGTTGACTGGGAGGGGCCTTTGACTACAGCCTATTCATGACACATCCAGGAAGCGGGTTTGGTTTGATTTGGTTATAGCCCAGCCTGCCCTCCCAGGCTGCCCTTCCAAAGGACTCTGGTTCAATTCCCAGTACCCACATGGCCGTTGACAACTGTCTGTAACTCCAGTTCCAGGAGATCTGACACCCTCGCACAGACAACGCATGCAGGCAAAACACCCATGCACATAAAAGAAAAATATATAAATTGAAATGTGCTTTTAAAAAGATTAAGAAAAAAATCCTAAATTTGGCGTGATAGCTGTAGTCCCAGGCCTGTGTCCTAGCATCTGGAAGACTGAGACAGACAAATCCTTGGTTCACTGGCCAAACAGGCAGCCTAGCTTCAGCCAATGAGAGACTTTGTCTCAAAAAATCAAAACAAACAAAAACCCAAGGTAGGTAGTGCCTAAGGAAAGCCACTTGATGCTGTCCTGTGGCCTCCACATGCATAGACACACACATGCTTGGGTACTCTACACACGTGCTGTCCTATGGCCTCCACATACATACACACACACACACACACACACACACACACACACACACACACACACA